TGAGCTGCGCAGACATCCACTCCAGCAAGGTCAGGGATAGGACACAGGAGGATCTAAGTGCTGCTGCTCTCCTCTTCTGTTTTAGTTCTGACCATGTGTGCCTCTTCACCATTGTGGCAAAAGGAGTGGATCTAAAACCCCTGTCTTTTCCAAAGCTGGCTCTCCGTTTGATGTGAAAAGAGAATGAAGAGTCGCAGTTTGATCTGACAGAATGGTGGCTTTACTGATGGCACTCTGCCAACTTTTGTTCAGCTCTACAGCAATAGTTGTATAATGTGTCAAAGGTGCAAACGGCCGAGTGAACTGTTTTAGGATACCACTGTTAAGTTAGGTTTTGTTTTTAGCAATTGCTGTCACAGCAACATCTTGGTACCAATGTCATGGGTCCAGGAGCCCTCCTTCATAACAAAGTATGTGTTTGACATCCCATTTACAGATTTAGAAGGCCACATTTCTGTCATTTGTATTGGAGACCTTCCACTGTGAATGTGCAAAGAGGGCAGTGGCAGAGCTGAGCAGAGGACATCTGCATCTCAGCTTTCTACTGGAGCTGCAGTCAGTAGCCTGACGTGCCTCTCAGCTACTGCACAGAAATTACCTGGCCTCTGAGGTCCTCCAAATACCTGTTGAAAAGCATCCTGAGAAGCCAGGCCAGAGCCAATTTCAAGTGAAATGTACTTAATAGTAAAGGCAAAAAATAATAAATAATAATTTAAGTTGTAAATCATCGCTTCTGAAACATGTGGACAGTTAAGTAAGTTCGGTCTTTCCTAGCTGGAAAGTAGAATTGTATTCTGCCTGCAGCTGCCAAAACCTGACTGCCCAAGCAGAATATTGGGCTCATTAGCACTTACAGGAAAGAGTATTTCAGAAGTGCTGGTGGAGGGAGGGGGTTATTCAGTTATTTATAAACCAACACCTGTGAACCACTTCTGCCAGCAAGGAGTGGTCCTGGAAAAATATAAATGGTTTTCTTCTCTTCTGCTCATTTAAGAGCTGTTAACTCACGTTCCACCTCTTTGCCCATGCCCAGCAGTAGCTGTCCCTGCCACTGATTTTTTCTTCATCTAACCAAAAAGCTTGTTCTGCAAGACTGGGGAGGCTCTGTCTGTTACAGTTTCTCACATCTTGTTACTTTTTGCCCTTGTTGGTGCCAATAAATAATAAATGCACTTGAGGGCACAGTAGTGTTTATTGCAGACCCCTCATCAGTGTTACATTTTGGCTATTCCTGGTGAGGAGTGAAGACAGCAGCTCTTCACCTTTTTTGACACTTGTGCTGAATACAGGTTGCAGCTTCATTCTTAGTCTCTCCATGGCTGTAGCAGTACTGCCTTTGCAAGGGAAGCCTCTGATTACATGTACATCTGTGGCATGCTACCACTCATCAGGTCTGTTACTACTGCTTGAAAAAGCAATAACATGTACCAGAAAAGTTACAGCTTCACCATTGACAATTTTTCCTTTTATAGTGTTTTGAGGAGGCAGCAAGAGGAAGGGGTGTAATAAAAAGCATGTCATTATCTGCTCTTTGTTCTTTTCTCTTCATCCAGATCCCCTACTGCACGGCAGCTTTGCTTATTTTTATATGCATCCTGATAGGGTGGGGAAGCATTTCTACTACTACATGTTCTCATCTGTATTTCTGGAGCCTGTTGAGTATAACTTCCTGGTCTTGGTATTAGATGGACTCACCTAAGGTTAAGCCTTACAAGACCTAGTGCTCACCAGTACGGAGGAGAGCATTAGAGATGTTAAGACCGTGGGCAGCCTGGGCTGTAGTGACCATGCCCTGGTGCATTTTGTGATCTCAAGGAATGCAGGCCTGGCAAAAAGCAGTCAGGGCGCTGTGCTTCAGGAGAGCAAAATTCCATTGGCTCAAGGAAGAACTGCTGGATGGGATTTCCTGGGAAACTGTCCTTAAGGGCATAGGAACAGAACAGAGCTGGCAGCTCTTTAAGAACACCCTTATGCGAGCACAAGAGCTCTCCATCATCCAGCAGAAGAAATCGAGCAGAGGAGGCAGGTGATCAGCATGGCTGAGCAAGGACTTGCAACTGAGAGAAAAGAGGGAAATGTACAGGAAGTGGAAGTGGCGTTGTGTAGCCTGTGAAAAATATAGGGACATTGAACATGTGCAGAAATAGCATCAGGAAAGCCAAGGCAAAGATGGAGCTGAACTTGGCAAGGGATGAGAAAAATAAAAAGGGGTTCTAGGGGTGCGTAGGCAGGAGGAGACAGACAAAGAAGATCATAGGCTCCCCCTCTGATAAATGAGGACGGAGAACTGGCTTCCTCAGACATGGAAAAAGCTGAGGTATTCAATAATAGCTTTGCCTCAGTCTTCACTGGTGGTCAGGCTCCTCTGCATGTCTGCCCTGAACCTCTAGGTGAGGGTGAGAGGAGTGGATTCTGACTCATAGTAACAGTGGAACAAATCTTAGACTTCCTCATGAAACTGAATGTATATAACTCCATGGGCTAGGTGGAGGGCTGGAGCACCTCTCCTATGGGGAAGGGTTGATGGAACTGGGTTTGTTAAGCTTGGAGAAGGGAAGGCTCAGGGGAGACTTCATTGTGGCCTTCCAGTACTTGAAGGGAGCATATAAACTGGAGGGGGAACGGCTGTTTGTGAAGGTGGACGGTGACAGGACAAGGGGAATGGTTTTAAACTGAGACAGGGGAGGTTTAGGCTGGATATTAGGAGGAAGTTTTTCACCCCGAGGGTGGTGAGGCACTGGAACAGGTTGCCCAAGGAGGCTGTGGATGCCCCATCCCTGCAGGCATTCAAGGCCAGGCTGGATGTGGCTCTGGGCAGCCTGGTCTGCTGGTTGGCAGCTCTGTCTGTGGCAGGGGGTTGAAACTAGATGTCCTTTGAGGTCCTTTTCAATGCAGGTCATTCCATGATTCCACAATTTTATGACCCACTGCAAGGTGACTGTTTTATAATCACTGTAAATTCACAACTTCGCTGATTCTGGGAAACTTGAGCACTTTTTTATACATACATTTATGCACAAATCAATATAAGTACCAGACATGTAGTAACTGTAGGACAAGAGTGAGGATTTTTTTTTCTGGAACTTGATCCTGGAAGTACTGTATAACCCTGAGCTTTCCATATCTGATTTTGTCTATCCAACAGAACACTGCAGAACAGTCTTGTCCAACCCACATCCCACAAACTGCATTTGTCTCTGGACAACTAATAATGCAATCCCACAAGATTGTAAATTTTTAACCTTGATATGTGATTTTTTTTAATGTTTTTCATGAATCAGTTTCATGTAGCTTGAGTACAGACTGCATAGGTGACAACAGAAAGTGCATTAGTGCAGTGCTAACTCCACCTTTTGTGCCTGCCATACACACTCTGTTGAATTAAAACCTACGTGTCTTGCCTGTTATGTACACTTGTGCCACTTAATGAGTAAAAAACATTGATTGCTGATGATAACATTTCAGCCTACCTACATGTGTGCGTGCCTGTGGTGCCCTGGCAATGGTTGGTAAAAAAAAGAGGAACTTAAATAACTAACAGAAAATGAGGTAGTTGCCACCAGCGTCTTGCATTTGATGAAATATCTCTGCATCTTACATCAAGAAAATTTATGTTCGAGAGCTTTAAAAATGAATAATATCATGCAAATGATTGTCAAAGCTGTGAGTTTCATAAAGTCCAAGTGATTGAATCATCACCAGTTCCAGGAGTTCCTTAGAAGTAGAGATGCTGTTTATGGGGACATTATTTACTTTTCCAAAGTAAGGTTGCTAACTGTGGGTAAAATGTTAAAAGAAATTTATGATTTGCAAACTGAAATTAAGGTAATTGTGGAATCAAAAGGAAAATCTGTGCCAGAACTTGAGGATGAAAAATAGCTCATATTCATTAGCATTTTTGGTGGATTTGATCACTCTATTTAAACGAGTTAGACATCGAACTTCAAGGAGAAAATCAACTTATCTGAGCTGTATATCAGGCCATTATAGCATTCAAAATTAATCTTAAATGATGGCAAGCTCAAGTTACAGAAAATAATTTTATTCATTTTGATACATTGGCTGAACACACTCCTGTAACTGTGAAAAATATGCAGTCTTGCTTTCCATTTTGATAAAGGAATTTGAAAATTCATTTCAAGGTTTCTGAAAAAATCATCTTTTTTTTTTTTTTTTGGAAAATTCATGACTCCATGAATTATGTTGACGTAAATACATTACCTGTGAATTTTCAAGTGGAATGTATAGAGTTGCAATTAAACATTCAGCTCAGAGAAAAATTTGGTCATGTCTCTTCACTAGACTTCTATAAAGCCTGTCTTGCTGGAGAAAGATATCCTTCATTTCAAAATCATGCTATGTCAACACTTTTTATCAGGATGTATGTTTGTGAACAACTGTTTTCAAGAATGAAGCACAGGAAGAGTAAAATTAGTTCAAAAATCTCTGATGAGCATCTTGATAATTTGTGAAGAATTGTAACAAGACACTGATGCATTAGTTTCACAAAAACAGGGTCAGATATTCTACTAATTTTTGTTTTTGATGCCCTCTTTTTTATATGTTTCAAGAGAAAATGCTTTAAAAAAACCACAAAGTTTTGTTACTGTTATACATGAACTATGGTATGTATAGTATGTATTTTGTATGCAGCCCAAGACAATTCCTTTTCATTCAGTGTGGCCCAGGCAAGTCAAGATGTTGGACACCCATAATGTAGAACATGTTTATCCACATCTAGGAATGTTCTCTATGGGTTTGGAATATCTGTTCCTATGCCTGTAAAAAATCTAGATCGTCATAATTTGGTCAGCTGGGATCTAGGGTCTTCGGTCTTTATAAGGGTAGCAGTCTCTTACTTAATTCTCCATCTCCACGCAAAGACTTGAAGAGCTGCTAACTGCAGTTAACTTCAGCAGAGATAGCATTAGTTCTCAAAACTGAAAAATGCGGTAAGTTTAATTTATTTTTCTCTCTCTGTTTTGCTGTTTACTCACTAGGGATGTGAGTTAATTGAGACCATGGATCAAGATTTAACAGACTTCACCAAGTGCCTTCAGATACTCCAGAAAAAGATAGAAGAGAAGGGCCTCCAGGTAAAGACACAACTTTGTCTCTTCTTATTTGTATCTACTGTTCATCTCAACATACTTAGAATTATTTTTTATGTTTGCACTGAAATGAAGCAATATTTTCAATAGCCATTCTGAGGTTTTGCCATATTCTCGGCACACATTGTAAACATTGATGATTCTGCTGAATAGAATTACGGAGTGTGTCAATGCACAACTGTTGGTTTTCATAAAAGGCTACTTCTATTGGTTTTTGTTAACGAACAAGTCAAAATGCAGAAGAAAGTTGTGACTCTCTGATGTTCAAAGTAAGAGCCCTACCTTAGGAATATGTTCTCAAGTCTTGGCATGCTGAGCCTTAATGTTCATATCTCCTTGATTTCCTCCCAAAGATGAGATGGGAAGGAGAACCTTATTGTGTCAGCATTACATATGGTGAGTAATATCTCCTTCTGCAAAAGGTTCCCCTGAAATTCAAGAGAACCTTTATAGAAAAAGCAGTGCGCTAAGCCTGAAAAGATCTGTTTGGAGTTTGGAGTTGCCGTCCCTGGAGTGTTCAAGAGACAGCTGGATGACGTGCTGCGTGACGTGGTTTAGTGCTTGTGGTGGCAATGGTGATGAGGAGATGGTTGGACTGGATGATCTTATAGGTCATTTCCAACTTTGTGATTCTATGATTCTATGATTCAGAGTGCTGTTGCACAGTGTCCAGTACACACTGTTAATCATTAGTTATTTTTTCTGCCATTAGTATAGATGAAGATAGGAGAGTTTCTCAGGCACCTCTCTGAAGTCATTGAACCAGTTTCTCCTCAGCTGAGACACAGACCTGTAGGAAGAAGCGAGATTTTCCTCATATTGTCAAAGTAGACTAGCCACTTCATCTACCGTTGGTTGTTTGTTATCTTTCCAGATCACTCATGCCAAGATGCTGGCATGCAATGATGGGTGCACTCCATAAAACTCTCTGCCACATAAATTGCGTGCATTTGACTTTATCTGTATATTGAGATGGCATATTATCATCCAGGTTAGTATCATACACCATCTCTATCACAGGTAATTCCCGCAAATACTGGATACTTTTCTCCATGGTGGTCCATTTGCCTGGGTAACATTGAAGATTTTCTTTGAAGGGCTATCTTTTCTTCACAGCTTACAAGGCCACCACCATAGAGTGAAGGATTGTATCGCTTTTCCAGTCACTTTGTCAGTGCCACCTTCCCTAGAAAGATAGCCTAGCTGCCTGGCTTCACTGCCAATTAAATCCAGGTCGTTAGCCCCATTATCCTAGCACTGGAGCAGCCAGGTGACAACATGTTCATCTGGACAATACTGTAATCTTTTCACATATTTCATATCTCACTCAGTTTTAGGGACAGATGGTTTCTGTCTCTTTTATGAGTTCTGCGTCTCCTTCCTTCTCCCATTCTTGTGATGCCCCTTTTTCATCTTCATCTTCTTCTGTCTTTGTAGGAATTTCTCTCCTTATTAAATGATCTGACTTTTCTAGACATTACTTCCTTTTGTTTATAAGGGCAAATGATACTGGCACTGGCTTGTTCTCTGGTTGAACTGTGGGTCTTGTCAGGGCCTGTCAGAAGGATTAGGCAACCGCAAGGCCCATTCACAAGAATTGGTGCAACCACAGGATCCATTTCAGGGCCTGGAGCAGGCACTGGGTCTGTAACAGGGGTCAGAACATCCACAAAGTCTGCTGCAAGTGTTGTATCAACCATAGTTGGTTCAGGGTCTAGAAGTGGAGAAAGAAGTTATTCACCTGCATCTGCATTTACGGCTTGAGATACAAACTTGCATGTTAGAATGTGGATTTTTTTCTCCTTCGGGAAAAAATATCATAAAAGCTTTTAGCTTAGAATATTACCTAGGTGGAATATGTTTTTCTAGTTCCAGGTGAATGAAATTGTATTTCTGCAGCTCTGATTTTTACCTATTGTCTTATTCAGATACACTACACTACAAGCCTGTTTCCCAATAATTTATACTTGAAATTACTAGACAAGGAAACTATCTCTTCAGTATTAAAATTAAACAAATAAATGTATTTTAAAATTAAAAAAAAAAAAAGGAAAGAAAAAGATTTTAGTTGTGCTGTGTTTGCTGCTCTTTCTGGGTAGCAATATGTTAAGCTAGGAAATTAAGTTAAATCAGCGCTTACTGTGGACCTATATCCAGTGACATAGTTTCTCTGGATGAAATTCCATTGCAAGACGCTGAAATATTTGAAACTGATGTTCTTCAGTTCGTTAGAAAGTAAGGTATCATTTATTTGCTACACTGGATAGATAGAATTTTTGCTCTGGTCTATTAGTCACCTCTGTTGAGGAGGTTTTTGAGTGTTTGGGAGTTTATGGGGGAATGTTTTGTTCCAAACAAATTAAGTTCTGATGGTTTGTTTTCCATTTCTGCACATCTGTTCTCCTTTTCCTCTTCATTCCCACTCACCCAGATCACTTGTGAACAAATGTGAACAGAGGAACAGCATGTTGAAAGGTAATTACGTTGTACAGCATTCTTGCATGTGGTCACTTGAGAGGGAGACGAGGTGAGAGAGATGCTCTGTATCCCCTAAGAAGAGAAGGCTGCAAAGTGAGTTCAGATTTCACTAGTTACTGGAGAATTCAGTTTGGGAAGAAGCCTTAAAAATGCTTTTACCACAAGGAAGAGTACAACTGGAGTTGACAGTTTACTCAGATCTGGTAGGAAAAAACACCTTGTTAGTTCTTGAACTGCTTGATTGATAATGAACAGTGGTAATGCTATCTTCTAAAAGACAGCGAAGTTCTAATTTGCCAAGTTCATCATTACTTCTTCCCTTTCTTAAAGAAAAACTCTTAGAAAGTGTCTGAGTCCTCAAAGTCATTCATTTCTGATTTCCATTACGAAATGCAGTATCATATTTTGGTTGGTTAGCCAAGATGTGCAAGGAAGCAGTTTTAGGATCACTTTACAATACCTGAGTCACCTGTGTACATTTATACTCACGGCAATGAATGTTTGAACAAGCAGTACCCTGCATTTATGAAAGTTAGAATCAGTCCTAGTTTTCCCTTTCACAGTGCTAATTCATTCGTGATCTGAATTGTGCTGGATGGGTGGTGAGGCAGTGAAGTACCATGAACTAACATAAAGGCTGTTATACAAGGGCTGTTCTGAAAATACTGCCTCTCACTTTATTATGTTGGTTTATGATGTCATAGGTGGATGTTTGTGGTGTGGCAGTAGGTGTTGAGCCAATACTCCATTTCGTTGCTGTGCAACAGATGGCAGCAGGGGGGCAGTCTGACAAGATGGTGTCTGACATGGAAGTGTATATGAAGCAAAGGTGTGGAACTGAATTCCTCCATGCAGAAAAAATTGTGCTCATTTACATGCACTGACATTTGCTGAACATTTGTGGAGACCAAACAGAGGATATTTGCATAGTGAGATGGTGGGAGGTGCATTTCAGCAGTGGCAACAGCAGTGTGAATTACACTTCTCATTCCAGATGGCCAGTGAACATTTTTATTAGTGCAGCAGGCATGCAATGCCTGTTCATTGCTGGCAAAACATGCATAACTTATGGCGATGACTATGTTGAAAAATAGTGTTTTGTAGCTGAGAATTTGTTCTATCAAATTTTATTCTTGTGTGCTCTTTGTATCTGTTGTAGTTTCCATGGAAATAAATGGGAGGCATTACTTACAGAACAACCTACATGTATTGCTTTCTGTATGACTGTGAGTACGGGTGAACACATGCATGCATGTAGGTTGTATATGTACCACAATTTTTCTGACAGCATATCTTCCTTCTGTGCTCTTTTTTTTTTGTGTGTGTGTTTTGTTTTGTTTTTAATGTCTCAGTAGCTCTGTTTTCTGACATTTGTTTCTTCTACCGTTAATTGTCTATTCAATCTTATGTATGCATTTTTTGTTTTATTGCTTTAATCAGTATCCTATTCATTCTATGTTTATGTGACATAGTTTTTGTTTCTTTGTTACAAGACCTTCAAATAAACTTATTTTCAATAATTTCAGTAACTGTGTTATGTTCTTAGCTTTCTCTTATGTAACACAAACTATTACAAAACACTATCTGAACTGGCAAAAAAGACAGATTTGCTTACAGTATTCTTTTTAGAGATGAACAGATCTTACATTGAAAGTGAGATAAAAAGTGAAACCTGTTCTGTGGATCGGGAAGCAGAGGTGTAGAAACAACTTCTGCAGTCTCCCAGTGTGCCAGCAGCACAGTCGGGGATAATCTTCCAGTTCCCAATCTTCATATGGTGATCTTGCCCTAACACTCCCCAGTCTCACTCCCAGGCGGTTGCAGCAGCATTCTTCATTAAGAAAAATTCATTCATTCATTCATTCATCATTCTTCATTCATTTATCAATTATGCAATCCCCAGGAGAATCTGCGTAACGTAATGGTAAGTTTAAGCCATTATCTTCATCTCAGAGTTACAAACTCTGCACTCTGTTTCACCTAAACTACCATTCAGTCTTAAAGCTAAGCTCCAGGACTACTTCATGTTTAACTTCTATTATCTTTTCTGCTTGAAAGTTAAAGCAACTCATTTGCTTATATGAGCTGAAGATATAAAAAGTTGATTTTATTGAAAACTAATTGCATTTTAGTGGTTTAATATGACTATATTTCAATTGATCAAAGCATCAGTGTCAATATGAAAAATGAAAAAAATCTATCTTCAAATGCAATTACAGTGCAGGGCTAAGAGTAAACCTGTTTGTGTCTGGTGGCACATTTCTTCTTAATGCCTCACCTCCCACAAGAACAGAAAATGCAAATGATACATATTTTAAGGGAAGTTAAAAACATTTGTATAAGGTTTACATGCTGTCAAGTGCTGTATCAAAAGATTTTAATACTATTAAATTATTAATAGTTATTAATAGTAAAATTCTCTTCATTAACCTCTTTGGCAGAAACAACCAAGTCTGAAGATACTATTAATTCATACTTCCAAGATGTAGAATTTTATAATAACTTTCAACAGGGGTAAATCTGTCTGGAGGATAGAAAGACATATCCTTGAGCACTGACCATTTCAACTCTAAGGACCAAATCCACTTTCTAGAATGGCAGCATCTAACCCTTCCTACCTACTGTGAAATATTTTAAGGCTCCATAGTGCGAAGGTAGCAAGGTACATATCCTGCAATTAAGGATATCAGAAATGCCCTAATTCTAGGGAACAGGTAGACCAGGCTTTTTTCATGTTCAACTGTAGCTGTGGACATCAAGACACACTGAATTTGTGTTAAAGAATTTTATGTGAAATGGATGTCAGCAGGAGCACATGACATCATATATACTGTGAACCTTTTTTACACTACTTTTGTATTCTCTTCCAGGCTTGTATTTGATCTGTGAAGATGAGTTAACAGAAAAAGGCATGAGCGTAGTGATATATATATATATAGAATACATTGGTTTCTGCTTGTTGAAACAAAGCTAAACCTCATGTCAAATTTCGGTGACAGAAAGAGCAAAAGAGAAAACTACAGTTTGTTAGGGCAATTTAGGGGATAGAGAGGTCAGAGATACACTCATTATCCAAGGCTTTTGACAATTCGCCAGTATCTCAGTTTAGTCAAAGAATAAATAGGTTTGAAACATAAAACATGAGGTTACTAGGAGTGGTTTACTCTTCCTCTTGTAATCTCCAAGTTTTTCCTGTTTATAACAGGAATTGTGATTTTTCTTTTTTGCTACCAAATTTTAAATCAGTCCAGCTCCTCTGCCTTCAACAGCACAGCTTGTTCTGCTTTTCTGATAGCAGCTGCTCCTGATGGAAAGGTCTCCATGCTGGGAAGGTGGCTGGGCTGCATTAGTACACTGGTATTCTCAAAGTCTGCTGCACTTGTGCTGACCAAGCCTTGCTAATGAAGCTCTAGAAGGAAATTTTGAGGAGCCATGGGTTTTGACACAGAGAATTTGTCTGCAGCTTGAGGACCAAGAGCCCATTTTGTTGCTGGAAATGTTCATAAATAACATTTTTTCGGTTCTTGTTTTGTTTAATACATAAGCACTGTAATGTTAGGAAATGTCTTCTTTGTAACATGAGTGTTTTCAGGAAATTACATTTAGATAATGGGATGTAGGTTTATTTTTATAATTAAGCGTATTAAAAAAAAAGGTTTGAAGATTACAATAGCCAGTGCAATTTTTTCGACTCAGTATGATATCTTACTATTTGTCTGAGAATCTTGTCAAGAATAAATGATGGATTTGTGGGAATTTCCTGTTCAAGGAAACTTATTTAACCTAAGCACTGCATAGAGCACTCTTTTTTTTTTCTCCCATTATATTTTTCCAATTTTTGTACCTTTGGGCATTTGAATAATCAAAAGACACAGTGAAATTGTAATATTAGTTAAATCTTTTGAAGCCATTGTGGGTTTTTCTTTTTCGTTTTTTTCTTGTCTAGAATGGGAATGTAGGGGTGGAAGTAGGCAAGTAGTGACGTTGTTGCAAAGTAGAATGTTATGAGAAGTGGATGGTGCTCAACAGAAGTGATTCAGCCTGCAGCCCAAGCCCTCATGTACTCTGCAGCCCCGAGGTCTCTGGTAGCCTTCAGCTTATCCCGATCCTCAGCCATAAGTTCTGAGTCTTGGCCAAAAGGAAGGAGATGGGTCATACAGCAGTTCATCTCTTTACAAATAGTTTGAGGCAGCCTGGCAATCCTTGGAAGTCCACACAGTGCTCCCGCTGTGACAGAAGTAGTAGATGGTAGGATACCATCTCAGACCCACAGACAGGATGACAGCCTCTAGCTGACAGGCTCTTGTTTCCTGAGGAGTCAGATGACCAAAGCAACAAGCAAACTGCTGCTAGAGAAGAGGATCCCATCTAAGCAAAGTGCAGACACTGCTATGTAACTGTGTATATCATCCCTGTAGGAAATAATTGCCATGCCTTTCGTGTAAGACACTAGAAAGCCAATTGCCTTGCTCCAATTAGTGGAGTAAAGGTGATTTGTATTGTATACCTGGAGTGAGATGGAGATGCAAAAATAGGGCAAATGTTCTCCCAGTTTACTATAAATTCATAGTTAGGGAGATAGGAAAGGGAAGGTGAGTGATAGCAAAAAGACGGGAAGTAAAAGTGAGAGTTCTTTATAAAAAGCAGGATGTAATCACCACCATAGATTCCAGCAGCATTCTATTGATCCAAGGATATCTGTAGGTTGATGAGGAAGGCTCTCTTTCTTGCTTCCTTTTTCTCTCTTTTAATCATTCAAACAGTCATTTAATACTGTCCTGTCAGGCTTGGGTTCCAAGGTGATAGCTCATGTTGGTATGTGCATCCTTTATAGTGTCAAACTGAATAGTAAATACAACATTCACACCACTATTTAAGTGTTTACTTTTCAGCATAAAATATGCTTCAATATATGCATGCTGCTACAATAAATTTGTTCTCTTTCATCTCCCTCCAGTATTTTGTATTAAAGCAGTAGACTTTTGAATGTTAGGAAATGAAGTAATGAAGATGACAAGATACCAATGAAGTGTGGAGGTGATAAGAAGTGGTGTTCAAATGCAGTATCTGATCTGTAATTGGCATAGAAATATATGGGATAATAGCAGTGGATGGTCTTCTTGGTCTCACGGGGAGAAAGGTTTATGGCTCCAGAGCTTTCATGACATGTTGTTCTTGCCTTCCCTCTTTCCTTTAGGATGGTCTTTCTTGTTGTTTGTTCCAGTGCTACTGATTTCTTATCTGATATAAGTTTCTTATCTGATATAAGGAGCACAGTTTTAAAAAGAGTGGGCATCCTTTGCTGTCAGTTTGTGCTTTGAGGCTTTGCTCTTGGATGGCGTGGTGATGCTTGTGTTACAAAGCAGGATATGAAGTTCTTTTCACATACCTGAGGCAGTTCCCAGCTTCTTCTGTCCTTTCACCCTTCTCCTTAAATAACTTGTCCATCACTTTTGTAAGTAAAGTCTTCTCATTTAATCCACCCATACCAGAAAGAGAGATGTTTGCTGAGCCCGTTTTCCATGGAAAAAGAGTGTTTAGCAAGCCAGCAGACAATTTATAGCAAATTGTGTATTTTTGTAGTCTCTGTGGAAATGGAAGCAGGGAGCTGAGCAGCCTCACACTGATGTGATGGCACCCTCAGTAACCTCAAGGTTACAGCCTGCTCTAAATTATACCCTAAGGCAGAAGAAAGAAAGGAAGGAAGAAGAATCCAAAGTGCCACGTGCAGAGTGTTTCTTTGTGCTTCTCTTTTCCTTTAACAGCCCCACTGCAACGCCTAAAGCCATTTCAAAAGATGCTGATGTATAAATTTAATTTAAAGATGACAAATCCCATGATTAGAACTTCAACTCTTTATGAAATGAAGCTTGATTGCACTAAAAATGCTGTAGAAGGAATTTAAGTCAGGCTTTATAAAATCTTAATAGAATGCAGCCCACTTTACACTTGTTCTTGCTAGGATCTTGATATTCTTAGCAGTTATTATCACCTTTTCTCTGGAAATGAATAGCACTGTGTGAAAACAAAAAGGGGTAAAAGGACTTTTTACAGGACATTTAAGTGAATTATGGATATTTCAATTGAAGTGCAGTGTGTTAGTCAAGTGCTACCTGCTGGGCAGGAGCTGGGTATAATTCTCTAGCCTCATACGGGGAAAATGAATGGCCTTTCCTCAGTAGTGGGCAAATCTATAAATGCTCTGTGCTTGGGTTTTCACTTTTTCTTATTCTGTGGGATTACAAAGATTCGTGCATGTGCATTCACATTCTGTCCAGTTTCCTTAGTGCTTGGTGGAATGAGAATCAGGGATTGCAGGGAAGAAGCAGATTGTTTTGTTAGCTTGCAGATTTGCTTTTTTTGAATGGAGGTGATAGCTTTAAGATGAAAAATCTGTTGAGGTTTTGCTGGAGTAAGCCTCTTTGTCTGTTTGTTAAATAAATAAACAAATTGTGTATCCTAAACCTTCCAGCAGAGATTTTATGTCCCAAAATATCTGGATGTCCATCACTGCCTCCTGGACTCTGCAGTGAAACGCAAACTGTCTGCTGTCACCCAAGCGTAGAATTCAGCTTTTCTCTCTGCCCATTCCTGGGGTGCTCTAGCTGGTTTTGTTTCCATACCTGTCACAGACATATTTTTCTATTTTACAGGAACAAAGAAACCAGAATAATAGCTACATTTCCTTTTACAGTATCTTTTTTATTCTTCTCCAAACATACCACAACCACAAACCTCAGTTTTTACCAATGTGTTTGTACAAGTCTATGGGGCCTTATGATATGCATCCCAGGGTCCTGAAGGAATTAGTTGATGTACTTGGCAAGCCATTCTGCATCATATTTGAAAAATCGTGGCCTTCATGTGAAGTCCCTTGTGACCAGAAAAGGGGAAACATCACTCCTGTTTTTAAGAAAGGGAGAAAGGGAACTAGAGGCTGGGGATCCTCACATCTGTTCCTGGGAAAATCATGGAACAGATTCTCCTGGAAGCTATGTTAAGGCACATGCAAGATAAGAAAGTGATCTGTGACAGCCATCATTGCTTTACCAAGGGCAAATTGTGTCTGACTAATCTGGTGTCGTTATATGATGAAATGATGGCATCAGTAGACAAAGGAAGAGGAACTAAGGTCATCTACCTGGACTCGAGAAGGACTTGGAGGTCCTGGCAGATGGAAAGCTGAACGTGAGCCAGCAGCATGTGATTGCAGTCCAGAGGGCCAACTGCATCTTGGGCTGCATCAAAAGAGGGGTGGCAAGCAGGATAAGAGATTTCATTTACCCCTTCTTCTACTTAGGAGGTGGTGAGGCAATGGAACAGATTGAACAGAGAAGTTGTGTATACCCCTCCATGGTGGTGTTCAAGACCAGGATGCATAGGGCACTGGGCAGCCTGATCTAGCTGTTAGCAACTCTGCCCATGGCAGAGAGGTTGGAACTAGATGATCTTTAAGGTCCCATCCCTCTCAAGCCATTATTTTCAACAGATCTATTCCATGATACATTGGTTTTATTTTCTTACATTTATTACCAGCTCCCAAGATCACTGCAATTGCTGCTGAATAAGGAGTAGGATTTCTGTATCACTTACGCAAAAGAAGGTGATGAGAGTGCTTTCCAAGGATACAAATGCTATGGAGCAATAGCATTTAATAAAGTAATAAAGAAGAAAAAAAAATTGTTCATCCCATCCAACAACCAATAACAGCTCTTGAGTACAATCTCTATTCAGAGAAACGCTGCTACCCCTTAAATGAGGGGTGAAGGGATGGATCCAGGCTCCATCCCTTCCTGTCAGTCAGGTGCCTTGCTTGCACCTGAGCTCACTAGGTTAGCCACATCTTCTCATCTGGTGCTCAGTCGATGGTTCAGGCTGTGACCTGGCAATCCCACTGCAACTTATATTACACTTCAAAATGTGGAAGTATACATATGCATTATTCCCTGCCCCTCAGAGTGGCCATAGGCTTAGGCCTTGTAAAGCAGAAAACTTCACCAGATGGCTATTGTCATTGGAGCTTCTAGAAGCTTTAGAGCTGCAATGTGTTTGGGCTCTGCATACTACTTACTAAATGGTAGCTTTTGAAATTACAGTTACTGAATGTACTTGACCTGCATGGTGGAAGTAATAAAAATATTTTGCACTCAGTGATTTTCTATCTGAGGAACTAAAAGCTCTTAAATGTTCCCTCTCTGCTTGTAAGAAGTAAAGAGTGTACAGAGGCTTTATGAGGTGTTTGAGACTCAAAATTGCTGGCTGACTCCATGGCCTGGGGCTCAATCAAGGATTGCTTCTGTCCCTAGCAGCAACACCTGGGAGATACGGCAGTTGCAGGGCGCATGCAATCTCTTCTGAGCAGTAGTGCAATTAGTCTTGAGGAGAGCCAGCCTGTGTGTGAGTTTGTATGCTAACATGTTCTGCAGAGGGAGCAAGAATGGCATACAGCGTACCAATGATTTATCTTCTCTGTAGACTGTGAGAATGATCTGAAGCAATTTTGAAGATCTGCAGATATAAGATCCTAAGGTGTGAAGGGATATATCTTATCTATGCAGTTGAGCTAAACAGATAGTTGTCTGCTAGGACTGGTCTCTGTGTTAGGCAAAGCAATTAGGTCCTTCATTAAAGTACCACATGTTGACTGTGAGTTTACTGAGATTAAATACTCAACTTCAAGAATTGCGTAATGGTATTCATTAGTAATGAAAGAAAATGGCTGTATTTTAGATCTGCTTTTGTATAGTCAATGTATTTTTTTTGTTACTTTTTTTCTTATCAAAGTGATTCAGTTTTTGATTTTCAGGATCTAAAGATCATCTGTGGAGGTATCTTGATTCTCTTGGTGACTTTTGTTTTGTCTTTTAGATTGATTTGATTGTGACTTTGGGTGGACTTGGAGGACGCTTTGACCAAACAATGGCATCAGTGGAAACACTTTTTCATGCAACAAATATCACCCCTTTTCCAGTGATAGTTATCCAGGAGAGCTCGCTGATTTATTTGCTTCAACCAGTAAGTGCTGTGAATACCTGACCTTTCATCCATCCTCACCCTGTAGGTTTCCAACATTAGGAGCTCATTTTAGTTGTAATTTGTAGGAACAGAACCTAAATTGAAAATATATTGCAGGGAAGTGGACAGAAGATAACATATTCTGCATTCCTGCCTTGAAAAAAATTGGTTTGGGATTTTTAAGAGGGGAGGAATTCAGAAATCAAAGAGGTATGAAAGCAAAATTTCAGTACTTCTGGAAATTTGATTATAAATGAAAAAAAAACTTCAAATTTAATTAGATTCCAGTAATGTAAGCATTTAACACACACTCCTTTGCATGTTGAGTAGAAGGATGCCTGCACTATGAGGAGAAAAAAACCCAAAACATAGAGGTGGTATGAAGCAGTTTCTGACAGAAGTGTCTGATGGAGTTCTGTGGTGGTCTGAGTGGCATAGATCATTTCGATGGGGATCCAGATAGGATCATCAAGATAATTTATTTAAGATGTATTATTTTTTCAGATTTTTCTGGTCTTACTCCGTTTATTGAGTCATAAAACAATGCATATGAAAAATCTTGCAGGAGCTTCTGCTTCTAAGATTTAAATTAATGGCAAATCTAAGCACCAAAGAGCCTTCTTTAACAGTGATTCATTTGCTTGAAAAAAGCTTTTCCTGATATCAGCATTTCTATAAGCTTAACTAACTTCTCATTTTTATCACAGAAAGCTTTTTTCATTGCAATAAATAACATTCACAAATAAACGTGACAGCGCCCTGCACCGTACATGCTTATTGCAATTTGAGTAAAATATTAATATGATCTGGGCTTATAGATTTAAATCCATGGGACAGACACTGTACTAATAACTTCTAAGCACTGTATCTGCAGGAATGACTGTAGGCACAGGAGTTAATTTGTGACTGTGATAATTAATTGCATGACTAAATGGATAGATGAGGCAGCAGAATGAGGGGGCAGTGGAGCTAAAGTGCAGCTGGTTAAAATCTGGTTGTGAGGAGCAACTCACTTGTGGTGGGCCTGTGGGTGCAGCACTTTGCTGGCCCCAGTAAATTATTTTCAGCAGAGTCTTGGAGAATACCAAATTTAGCTTACAGAATACTTATTTGGACTGGAAAGACTTTTAATTCTTTTAATTAATCTTTTCCTTAAGTGGCTTTGAAATGTTGTGCATTATGCTTGCTTTCAGAAGTGTCCTCAATGAGCATGAGTATTTTTTGCAGCTTGAAAAAATTAACAGCCTGCATGTTTAAATAGAAATCAGAGATTGCCAGCTGTTTGGGTTTGCTGGAAACTTTTTACATTCTGGTTTTATGATTCCTGACTGTCAGTCTGCATTACCACTGATAACTTGAGGCTGATTTGAGCATTCAAAAATAAAGGGTAAATACAGGACGCAGGCCTTTTAGACAACTTAATGCAGACTTTAACTAAGGGATGGTTTTCACTGTTGGTTTAAACTTGTTGCTGTCAGCATCTTCTGTCAACTGTCATGGTAATACCTGATAATGACATTAATCCTGTATTGTTCAGACAAAAATCACATTAGTAGTTTATACACAGGGACAAACAAGAATCCTAAGATTCCTTAGCTTGGAAATACTCACTTTCTTCCCCAGGAATTCAGCATCATATTTTTCTCTTGTAAGCAACTACAATCCTGGTATTCTCTGCCTTTCCCCTCTCTCCTTTGTAATTTGAAATTAAGCTAGGAGGGAAATGAACACAGTGGGAGACAAGCTAGCTTTTTGAAATGCAAGTCTGGAAACTTAAAAGAAAAATAACAAACAAGGCAAGGTTTTGAGATCCAAAAGCAAACGATAAAGTTAAGGGCATCTTGCCTTTGTTATAAAAAGTAGGTCTGAAACCCTTTTCTCTTGGGGAAAAAGTATCTGATCTTTATTGGATTCTTTGGATGAAACATATGAGCAAAAATTAACTGTATTTTTTCTTGAAAATAATGTTAGCCCTCTGCTCATTGTGGTAGGAGATTATTAGTTCTATATCATGCGTACCTGAACAGAAGCTAAAATTCTTGGATATATCCATGAAAATGGTAATCCCATAGCAGCTCTAGAAAGGAGACAAAAGTCAGGCTCCGGAATTTCTAGCTGCTCATACAGAGACTAAGGGAAAGATTCAGTAAATGTGTATTTCAGTACACCAAAAAAAATATTAAATATTTGCTAATAATTTCAGATTTTTGGACAGCTGATAAAGAGAGGCGTAGCAAAAGAAATATATCAATATTGAACACACCTGTAAAAGTGCAAAGCATTGTAGGAAACCAGAAGCATTAAGAGTAATAGAGAAATACAGCAAGGACAATTACTGACTAGGAATATACATATTACAGACTGAGGTGGACCAGATCAACAAAGTCTAATTTCATTAGCCAATAAAATTACCTAAATACTGAATGTAAGGGTAGATGGCTTTTTATGTGCTGAACCATCTCTTGGGAAATGGATAGACAGTGCAAGATTTTGAAGCCTATTGGGAAAAACATTCTCTCACCCATCACAGACTCTCCTGCTTTTATTCTTCTCAGGGTCTGCAAGGTTTTTGCATTTGTACACCACATCCACATGGCTAGTGCGTGATACACAGCCCAAGTGTATTGTGTACCTGTGTACCCATTTGCAAAACAAAGTTTTGCTCTTTGCTCTTACCAAAGTTTGCTCTTTCTATGAAACAGAATATTGTCAGCTATAGACACGAATATCAGTTCCCTTAAAAGTATCAGAATACTTTGTTTCATCCCAAGATCATTCTTCCATCAAGGACTTGGTGGAGGGAGATGATCCTCCCCCTCTGCTCTGCCCTGGTAAGGCCTCCTGTGGAGCACTGTGTCCAGTTCTGGGCTCCCCAGTACAAAACAGACAGGGATCTCTTGGAAAGAGTCCAGCGGAGGGCCACAAAGATGGTGAGGGGCCTGGAGCATCTCTCCTATGAAGAAAGCTGAGTGAACTGGGTGTGTTCAGCCTTGAGAAAAGAAGACTGAGAGGGGACCTGATCCAGGTCTATAAATATCTAAGGTGTGGAGGTAGAATGGCGAGGCCGGACTGTTTTGAGCAGTGTGTGGAGACAGGACAAGGGGAAACAGCCGGAAACTGCAGCATAGGAAGTTCTGCACAAACATGCACAAGAACTTCTTTAGGTGAGGTGACGGAGCACTGGAACAGGCTGCCCAGGGGGGTTGTGGAGTCTCCTTCTCTGGAGATATTCTAGACCTGCCTGGACACCTACTTGTGTGACCTGCTGTAGGGAACCTGCTTTGGCAGGGGGGTTGGACTCGATGACCTCTGGAGCTCCCTTCCAACCCCTACGATTCTGTGATTCTGTGACCTTTAAGTTTCTGATACATGTGCCAATGGAAGGGATTAGTGAACTAAAAAATCAGTTGGGCAGTATTCCAGAATTCTATACTAGAATCATATGTTGACTCAAAGTAAGATAGCATGCACCTTTGTCTTGAGTGATGTATGGTCATATTTTTAAAATCCTGATCAGTGGGATGAAAGAGAGTTAATCGTTCTATAGTACAGCATCATCCATTTGCCTAGGTTTCCTTTCCAGGATTTCTCTCTGCAAGTTAAAAAAAGGCTAATGGATAGGTTCTGGTCCATCTTTAACCAAACTACACGCGGGTGGCAGAAGCCGGGCAACCGTGGGGAGCAGACAGCGGCAGCCATAGGAGGGAAATGGATTGCAGCCACAGGGCTGCAGGTGCCTCGCAGCCACGGCGGCCCTCTCCGGGGACTGCGATTTTCCTCTCTCTTGCCAGGGATGGGGTTGGAGTCGCGGATCGGGTCCAGACAGGAGCTGCTTCCTGCGCCAAGGGGCAGTGGTGGGGGAGGAAGGAGAGAAGGGTGATGGGTAACAGTCAGAAGAGTTTGCCCTTCTTCCTTGACTAATTTGCCTGAGCCAAACAGATAGCAGTTTGGTAGCTGTTTTATATGCAGTAGTTGCAAGATCCCAAAGTTTTATGCCAATTCTGACTCAAAGCTCCCCATCAAAATAAAAGCCAGTTATCAGAAACACAGTGCATTCCAGCTTATCCATTAAAGAAAAATAGCTAATGCTGAGGTAAATACAGGTTGATTCGGAAACTTTCTCTATAATATTTCAAGATTTACTCATTGCTCCCCATAGTTCCTGGCTGCTCACCTTCTGTCCTGCAGAATGCTGCGGGTGCCAATCAGTCTCTCTGTAGTTCAGTCAGGCGGTGCTGCCAGACCGGGCTCTCTCAGGTTCAGTTTGATTTACTCCACGCAGTGGGTGCCATTTGCAGCATCTGAAGCACAGACTCAGATGTGAAACTATTTACTAAGACAGAAAAGAAGGAAAGAAATAATAGCAATTATGATAATATATGTATATAATACATACTTGTAAAATAGATGATGCACAGCACAATTGCTCACCACCCATCAACCAATACTGAAGCAGCAACTGCACCTCCAGCCAACTCCCTGTTTTTATAGTTCAGCATGATGCCATATAGTATGAAATATATCTTTTGCTAGTGTAGGTCAGCTGTCCTGGTTCTGTTCCCTCCTACCTTCTTGTTCCCTCTACCCAGACCCCCCCTCCCTGGCAGAACAGTATGAGAAGCTGAAAAACTGGAACAACCTTTGTTCTGTACAGCACTACTCAGCAACTACTAAAACCTTAGTCTGATACCAACATTGTTGTCTTCCTAAAGCCAAAAGAAAGCATTATACCAGGTCTTGTGAAGAAATTCAACTCCGTCTCAGCTGATAGGAATCTTTAAAGCACTTCAAGCATGGAAGTACTGAGCTGTCTAACATATCCCTAGAAAACTGTAAGGGGATAAAGTACTAAAACATTCAATTTTTTATTTCAAGTCATCTTGGAAAGTGATTTAGTTTTATCTGTTTAGCATAATCTGCTAAAAGGCATTAAATGGTCTGAAATAATTGTGAGCACTATGGTGAGCTGACTGACATCAGTAATACAATCCAAATGTGCT